AATTTCACTTGTCTATGATCTTTTCTGTTTTCCTGTATAGTAGCTTACACTTTTCCTAGAAGATGTTGTCTTTCATAAAATTACTTGAAAAACACTTATGTGCCTTTGCGGGTGATATAAACACGAGAAAGTAAACTACTTCCTTACCTAAGAATTTTCCTGAAATAATGTGCACATTAAATTGTGTCATTTCAGAAACTTTCAAAAGAACCAGCAAAGAAATTCAGTAATTTATTTCTGATTTGCTAGAAAGTTATATACAGGTATTTTATTTTCACCAAATTTGGAAAAATCTCACTTCTTCTCCACTTGTGAATTAACACATGGCCAAGAATATGAAATGAGGCACAAATACATTTTTTAAATTTTTTTTGTGTGTGTTAGAACTTTGTAAGAATTTGTTATTTGGAAAATTGGTGCTGATTCTACACCAATGAAAGAGAATATGGTACTGAAGCATTTACTGTATCTATCAAATCAAATATCCAACCTAAATATTCTCATCTAGGATGAGAACAGACAAAACTGGAGAAATGGTGAATGTCTGTGTTAGGCTTATGAGTCCCTTAAAATTTTTTTTGTGTGTGTTAGAACTTTGTAAGAATTTGTTATTTGGAAAATTGGTGCTGATTCTACACCAATGAAGAGAATATGGTACTGAAGCATTTACTGTATCTATCAAATCAAATATCCAACCTAAATATTCTCACCTAGGATGAGAACAGACAAAACTGGAGAAATGGTGAATGTCTGTGTTAGGCTTATGAGTCCCTTACAGATCTCAAGTATAGAGAGAAGTCTTAGGTGCATGTAACTAGAAGAAATGGCTTTTGTTCTAAGGCTCTTGATAATGATAATAATAGAAAGAAACAGCTCAATAGATATAAAGGCATGATAAAGAGCCAGTGAGAAAATTTCTGTGGCTCAGAGTATTTTATTATTCTCTCTCTATTTTTTATTTATTTAAAATCTATTCATTAATAATTCTCTTGTTCATAAACCTCCTTTTTAAAATTTTATTATAGAAAAGAGGGGGAGGTGAAAGGAATAGGTAGGCAACTAACTTTAATTGAGCATCTACTACATATAATCATTTTAAATAAGCAAATGTGCCATTATCATATACTAAAGACAAAATCTCACGTACAGAATGAGTGAAGAAGTCTGTCCATGATGCACTGTTTGCTTTGGTATCAGCAATTGCAAATACCAAAGCAAGCAGTCACGTGCTGCTCTTCTGAAGGAATCCTTGCCCTACTGAAGGTTTTAGTTTCATTATTTACATTCATTCTCATCATTCACCAGATACTATGCTGGACACTGAGGATGCAAAGATAATAAATTCATCCCTTGCCCTTAAATTGCTAAGTCATTATCAAAATTTCTTTTTCTATCGTACACATATATGAAAAGAAAACAAGCTTCTTTATTTTCTCTTGTTGATTGATAATTTTTATGAGATACTGTATACATACTTTCATGGGAAAGCAAAAAAAAACTTGCTTTAAGGTCAATGTTTAGGCTTTTAAATACATTGTAGCCTCCCTAATACATTAACATTCTCTTTAGGGAGTAATCTCTTGGGATTAATGCTCAGTTTTTCAGATTTCCTATTCTTCTCCACAGTTTTCTCCAAGACGGATCTGAGCATACAGGGGTTTACATGACCTTGTGATTCTGGGGTTCAGTGGGGTCTCCTGTGTTAACGCAGTGCTTGGATAAAACTGCTGAGTTCTTGAAATGGGTCTTGTCCAGGACATTATGATGTTGCCCCATGGAGGGTTATAGCTGGTCTAGCTTATGTTATTATCTCTTGGCTTGGTCAGGCTCCAGTGGTATTTCTTGCTGACTAAACCTCATCTCAGCCCTCACTGGCCCTGCCAACTCTGCCAGGTCTGGCTTCAGAGACCCACCTGGCCCTCCAATGGGTCATTGTCCCATTGTTGCCATGGCAACACCTCTGTCGAGTTTACCAGTTTAACTTGCAGGAATCTTGGAGTTTCTTCTTGGGGGAATGAGAAAACCGGGTAGCAAAGGGCATTCTAACCAAAGCACTCTTTCTGACTACAACATCCGCACTCCAGGTAATTGCGTAAGGCAATCTCCTCCTAGAGTTCCTGGCAGGAAATGGAACTGACATCCTTGTGCTTTTGGCTTTCCCCTCAGTGTGCCTCACATGCCTTCCCTTTAGGTCTTAAGCCAAGAGAGGGGAGGACACACATCTGATTGCACCTGCTCCTCCCACCTTCATTTCCTTCTTATTCTCCAAATTCACGGAAGTGGAAGGGGTGAGCTTATCCCTTTCTTTCCTCTTTGCTTCTAATATTCCCCTGGATCATACTCTCCTAATTTTGTGGATGGCATTCCACCTTTCCCCTGTCTTTATGGTTAAAATATGGGAGGGTACAAGGAGAAATAAATGGTGACCATAATTAAGGATGTATTATTTCTAAATAGTTCTACCTGTCATAAGCAAATGCTTATTAGTCATTCTGTATTAGTCACGGAGTTAATAAAGAAAGCCTGATGGTTTATTTGTCCCCGTTACAGTGGTTGGTTTGTTTTTAGTATTTTGAGATGGGATACTAGTTCAGTTTTCACATGTATGCTGGAAGTCCTTGCTACTCAAAGTATGGTCCAAGGACCAGCAGTGTTGCCAACACTTGTTAGAAATGCAGAATCTCATGTCCCACCATAGAACTACTGAATCAATACTTTTCATTTCAGCAAGATCCTCAGCTGTGCCACATGTGCATTTAAGTTTGAGAAGCACTGGTTTAGGCCACCATAGCCTTACTGAAGCTTTTGGCTACATTAGCTATACCCATCATCGGCACTCAGTAAACATTAATCAATTCCACATGTTAGCCAATGACGGTCCTTGCCCTTGGGTGCTTATGGTCCCAATCAAGGATCTTTATAGTTATGGGAAAGAAATTAAAATAAAATAGACAATTCTGGATCTAGTCTCCCCCATCACCAGGCAGACCATAAATCTTTTTTGACAGATCTATTAAGATTAAATTATAAGTTATTAAAAATGGTTGTTCATTTTCTTGGAAAACAGTCATTTAATGTACAGAGACAAGAACAACGTAGTAATGAAATACTCAATTGATAAATCCAGATTCATACCTGAGGCTGCTGTTTCATTAGTACTGATAGGGTTTTGCTCAGTTACAGTTTGTCAAAACTGTAGGATTTCCTTTAGGGGGATGATTTTGGGGAGGAAAGACAAAGTCATAGTTTTTCATCCTCCACTTTCATTTTCTGATCACAGTGTGTTAGAAGAATCTGGGCTTTACTTATTCACCAGGCTTTCGATAGAGAATCACATTAATCCTTTTAAGCTCCTTATTCTAATGATTTATTTTGTTGAAAACCATAGTGATCCTCCTTTGAATTTTAATGATTGCTGGCTATTCAAAGATTCATTGTTTTGACTTCCTGTCCTTACCTTTGTTTCCTACATGTCTGTGGGGAACACCTGTCTAATACTGGATCTGCCACTGGTTCTCACTGGCTTACCAGAGTCACTCAAGCCTATCTCTGAGTGTTAAGCTAAAATGCTGGCTACTCATCCATGACAATAAATGCAGGATATATGTTTGCAGAGATAGGCAGGTAGACAGCAGAGGGACAGATAAATGATTGAGTCATTTCCCAGTGAAAATAGCATTTTAGATATGATAGTATATCATAATCATTGTAGAGAAATTAGTTAAATTACTATTCTTAATCATAAATCTACTGGGAAGCAATGTCTATGGAAAATCTAGTAGATGAGAAAGGTGTTCAAATTCTGAGGGTGCTGTTCTTATCCAAAATTCTGGATCAGGTAACTTTCCACAAGTCACTGGCTCTCCCATTCCTCAATCTGTTAAATGGCAATGTTCTTTTTCAAGGACATAGTGGTGGTCATTTTGTTCAAGTGCTGCAAATCCTCAGAAAGGGTTAGCAAATGGAAATGGCCCTGCCACATCTCAGGTATGAGTATCAGAATTACATATTATGTTTTCAAAATCCAAGAGGTGGCTGTGTCACAGGCTTGAGTTTCTGTTTTGCCCACTGTGTAACCACACGGAGAATTTTCCCTTCTCTTTTTACAGGTATCACCTAGGAACATCATGGGTTTTCAAGAATATATTATTCTAATAAGAGATTTTTAACAGCTACACTGTATTTATGCATAATACATTTTGTGCCTTATCTTCAGGCTTCTGGACTTTGATTCAGAATATCAGGAGCTTTGGGATTGGCTGATTGACATGGAGTCCCTTGTGATGGACAGCCACGACCTGATGATGTCAGAGGAGCAGCAGCAGCATCTTTACAAGGTTAGAACTACCCTTCCTGCCTTTACCTTGCTGTGGAAGATCTGATTAGCCTGACAAGTCTCTCTCTCTCAGGATATCTTTGCGTTCATTGTATGTATCATGGTGTCTATTAGAATTCCCTTCCCTGTCCCCAAACTCATTTCCATCCCTTGTGTGCTGACAGGCTGCACCGACATCATAATTGCAAGAAAGTTCCCTTTATCACATTCTATTTGGTGTAATTCTATAGAAGGACAAAGATTTATCTTCACGATGAATAGCAATAAATGAAACCGCATTAATAAATAGACTGAAACAAACGAAGGATAAATGGACTGGTAACACTTAACAAAATGTGTTTTGATTGGAGCACTCAGGTGGATTCTATCCACCCTTCAGATCTTCCCAGAGAAAAAAAAGAAATTTGCCTTTGGCTTGGCTTGCTGCTGCCAGGGTACGGGGCTCATCCAATTTAATGTTTATTAGTGATACATAGAGCAGACCTTGTCATATTAAGTCAATACGTTTGCGTGTGATTTAAGAAAACTAACTTGGAACTCACATATTGATTGCAGGCAATTCGTCTAATAACTATCTATATTGTTTTCCATGTCTGCTAATTCACCCTTAGCCTGGTGTGTTTTACAAATTCTATTTAGTCTTGAAGTTCTTACAAAACAACCATGTGATTTCGACTGAAAAAAATGGTTGCAAGATCCACAGTGCCTGTAAAAGCTATTGGGGGTGAATGCGGGGAGGGTCTTTCCACTGAAATATCAGACTGCAGTAAATCTTCCTCATTTAGGCAATTTTTATTGGAGTAATTCTGACAGTTGTCATCCTTGAATTGCTTTGAGCATATGGCATATTTCAAAGAGCAGATTGTGAATCATAAAAAATAAAATTAATAACTAACCACAGAATCAGCAACAGTATAATGACAAGAAACAACTACCCTCTAGCTTTTTAAAATTTCTTATAGAATAAGAAGTACATTCAAGGTCAAATAAAAGTTGTCTTCTTTCTTCAATTTTATTATTTTAATTTACTTTTCCTTAATAAATTATTTTAACTTTTACCTCCTCTAACGAGAGATATTTGTACTTTTCAAAGGTCTGGTTGACTTTAATTAGTGTCCTCTGAGAATCATCTTAGTTAAGAAAAGATATAAGCTCCCCAGGGATTCAGCAAATAGGCACATTTTACTCTGTAAAGAATTCTGTCCAACACTAATGGAGTTTGTTGACGGTTAGCTGTTTCCTGTATAGATAGCTGTCCACATTAGCAACAAAGCTATCCAATACATCTTCTGGCATAACTTATTATTACGGTAACAGTCTCAACCTAATGTAGCAAAGCTAGGTGATTTCACAGTTTATGTCAGGGTCAGGAATTATGTATAAAAAATGCCTGTAAATCTATTTTAATTTACCAATAGAAAAATATTTTATTCCTACTACTTAAGCATTAGAAGTTGAGCCAAACAGGAAAAATAAATACAAAAGTTTACCTAATTATAAGCCGTTATCTCAGACTTTATTGCACTCATGATGCCAAATAACATTTCTTTTCTTCTTGATGCATTTTGTATTTTGCACATAGCCACTATTTTTTTCAGAAACAGTGCTATTCTTTGTCAAAATCACATCCATATAATTTACATCACAATTAATAGGAAATCATTGAACAAAATGTGCAGTCTTCTTTTTGTGTGTGTGCTTTCCTTGTAAGTGCTTTGCCTGAAAATTCCCATTCTGGCAGATTGAAGGCCATTATTCCACCCACTCAGTACTTCTGGGTTATAGTATTTTTCCAAACATTTTCCATAGTGTTGTTTTTCATTTGTGACTCATGTCCTGTCACCGTCCTTCTGCTTTAGGTGCTCGGTATAGCTCAGCTCATGAGACCAGCACTAACTTTGCATTTGGTTTATAAGCAAAATTAAAGATTGAGTTAGAAACCAAGGGGAAATGCTGCTGGTCTGTAGTAACTTTCTTTATGTGAGTCCCCAAGTTATTCCAGAGGTTTAGAAACCTCCAATGTAATGCTGAGGATATTGAGAAAGAAATCATTTAGAACTTGGGGCGGCTCTGAATTAGAAAAACTGGTGGAGGAGAATTAATTTCAGATCTTCCCCAAGAATCCCCAGGGATTCCCAGGTTAGGTCAACATTTTCAACATCCCATTCCTCGGTTCTAATATGCTTTTCCAGGAATCAACTGAACTGATGCCTTTGGGGAGGGGGATTTGTAGCCTATTGATCATAGCCCGAGTAAAGCTTTTCAATTGGTCCCCAGGCCTTCCTAGGCTTTAAGTACCATTTGAGACTACTTTAATCATCTTTAGTGATTTATTTTTGTTTGCCCCAAAAGATACCAATGCTTTATCAACATTTCTTATTAAGGGCACCATTGACATTTGGGGCAAAACAATTCTTTTGTTAGTTTGTGAGACTATCCCTTGCACCTCAGAACATTGACTATCATGGTCCCCAGTCATTGTGACAACTCAACGGGACCCCAACCCATTTCACAGCATTTCCAGTCCATCCCAATTTATCTGGATCATCTTTACTTCTTAAAACATTTGTGTAACACCACAAAAACTCCTTAGACTTGTATTCTACACATTGTTAAGCAAACACCTTACATAGTTGATATCGAACTAACAGCTGTTGAGTTAAGAAATTAAGGATGGAGATGAAGCTCATGATCCACAGTACTAATGTACCTGTGACAGAGATATTCAGCTGAGTGACAGCAAAACACCTGGAAACCACAGACCAAAACGGAACCATGATTTCTGCTATCATAGCATTGGGAAGCTTTGTTCTCCTCTCCCTGGCTTGCTCTCTGTATTTCATCACTCAACTCCTTTCCTGGCATAACATATGTAATGACACTGAATTTTACCCTTAAAAATGGCTAAGATCATAAATTTTATGTTATGTATAACCAAAATTTTTTTTCTTTTTTTTCCTTTTGTCTTTTTTCGTGTTCGACAACGGATCGCAACCCTCACTGTCGCGCCCGCACCTCGCTCAGCCAGTGAGCGGGAATCGGTCTGTATGTGGGATTTGAACCCTCAGCGGGAGCGCTGCCATGCTCCCAAGCGGCGCAGTGTAGCAGTGCGCCACCGGGCCGGCCCTAACCAAAATTTTTTTAAAAGATTGAATCAGAGCTAAAGGTGAATGAATCAATTCACACACATACACACACACACACTCTCACACACACAAAAAAAACCAAACAAACAGCAACAACAACAACAACAAAAAAAAATAACCGGGGGGGGGGGGAGAGGAATTAAAAATACTATGGTGTCACTTCAGCTAAGACTTTTATACTTTCAGGGAACTTACAGTGAAGATTTTATGGTTAATTTTGAAGGTTAGTAACTTGCATGGTTCTGGTTTTTATGGGGAAAATGCAAGTTTCCTGCATCTTTCTCCATTGATATAAGTATTATCCAAACATATCCTGCATATAAAAGGAAAAAGACATTTATTTTGCATAATACAATGCTTACTAAACAGATTAATTACATTTTTACCCTAGTAGTACTTTGAAGTTGTTTATAAGAATCCACATAAAAATAATAAAAATATTATAAAAATATAAATACAAATCAGAACTGGGGAAAATATACATAGACTAGGAGTCTACTTCTGTGAGAAAAGTTAATATGCCTCTACATAGACTATAAAGTCCTATATAGTTACTAAAGATGGTCCCCAAATTTTGAGTTTCCTGGTAGTGAGAGCAAAGAGGGAAATGTGCTCAACTGCAAAATTTACATTTTCTATGAGAAGAAGCTTCCTTGAAGAAATTAAGTTTATTTTGATATTTAGATATGAAAAGGTGTTCTTTTAGAATTTTTTATATGAAGGTTTAGAATGGTATGTTAGAGAAATTTTTAAACACAGTATTTCTTACAAGTAAATTTCTAACCATAATACTTCTAACAAGTGAATTATTTTTCTGTGACTCTGTTGCCAGGTAATGTGTAGAGACCTTGAGCACAGCTCTCACCAAAAGGTGGCTCCTTTCAACGTTTGTTTGGCCAGTTAGGATTAATAAGAGAGGACATCAATATAATATATTGTAAAAGAGGAGAATATTAGAAAAGTGGGAGAGAAATATAAGCATTGAAAAAAAAAGCAGCTAAAATTAGTTAATAAAAGTTAACCAAACAAAAAAGAGCAAAGGAGTAAATTAAAATCTTGGGCGAATGAATGAATAGATAAGAAAATGCTAAAAAACCAAATACAAACAAATTTTAAAAACCAAACAATGAAAGAAGAATTGGCTTAAGAAAACAACAACAACAGATAACAGAAAAAGGGGTAAATTTTAAAGGAGAGGGGAAGATGTTACTCTAGAGAATTTGGATGTGTGTTAAAAGACAAGCATTATGACTTTTAAAAGAAATGTGTATGGAATAGGATTAGAAATTCTAAGGAATAAGAAATATAGAGTAAAAAGAAAAATGGAGCATAGTTGACTGGTTATTTTATAACTATTGATGCCAAAATAATGTTGTCATTGCTATGAATGGCTCATAGAAAACAGATTGATCATACTACTCCTATATTTTATAAATTCACAAATTTCAGCCCTCTGGAATAGATCTTTTTCATTCTGTTCTGGACCCAATTGATCTGAATAACTTTATTTATTTATTTATTTTTTCCCCGACCAGTAAGGGGATCCCAACCCTTGGCATGGTGTTGTCTGCACCACGCTCAACCAGTGAGCGCACCCGCCGTCCCTATATAGGATCTGAACCCCTGGCCTCGGTGCTACCAGCACCAAGTGAGCCACGGGGCTGGCCCAATCTGAATAACTTTAGATATGGCTTGGTACCCTTATGACTGAACTTGAGCTCCTTAAAAACGTAAATGCTAGGCTGGTTCACAGTTCAGGTCACAGTAGGTAGGGTTAAAATAGAAGAAAATCATCAACTTAAAAAAAATATTAAATATGTTATTGTATAGAATAGAAGTGTGCATCAAAAAATTA